TTTTCTTGTTTGCTTAGTTAGTTGGTGGTCTGTGCTCTTTTTATGGTGTGGAACTCAGGGCTTCAACATATGCTAGGCAAATATTCTACCACTGTGCTATATCTTCAGCCCTGTCTTTAATTTTTATTTTGAGACACAGTGTCCTTGAGTTTCTAAGATTGACCTTAAACTTGTTTTATAGCCCAGGCAGGCCTTGAACTTGCAATCCCCCTACCTCAGTATTCTGAGTGTCTGGGATTGCATTCCTGCATTACCAACCCTGACTCAAGTGTTTTTTATTCTAGAAGTGGTTCCTTGTGGTCCTCAGCCTTTGCCTCTGGAGTATGTCAACCTGCTCCATGATAGTCCCTGTCCTAGCTGGAAGTTACTAGTGTTAAAAAAAAAATACCACAATTACCTCCTCGATGAAAGCAAAGAATGTTTAAGCCATTTCGTCAAAGCCACTTGAGCCCTGCATCAAAACCCAGAGGTGAGCTGGGTTACTTCCTAGGTAGGAGACCTTAGATGTCTGCTTACTGTCTTCATCCCAGATGTTCTAGTTCATAAAACAGAAATAATAATAGCACCTTCAGCACAGCCCTTCCTTTGCTGAGAATGCAGTTCTTCAACATGATGGACAGCCTTTTTCTACAGTTTCTACACAAGAGCATGTTCCAGCTGTCCCTGGATTCCTTTAAATGCAAGTGTCATAAGAAATCTGGAAAACTTACTACTCTTTCTAATTTGGGAATAAGAACCAGCCTAAAAGAGAAGTGAAGAAAAGTCTAAGGTGATGATGATGATGATGATGATGATGATGATGATGATGATGACGACAATGACGAAGACAACTTTGACACTGATAATGGTGTGATGAACTGTGTTGATAATATTTGAGTCTTTTTGCCCTCTGATTTTTTTCTTTGACATGCTTGGATGCATGTGCATCCTGTATCCCAGATTTCTAGTGCAAAATGCAGGTCTCAAGGAGAAGCTGGAAAGATCCACTACCCTTTTAAGCCTTGTAATAAGAAATGTGCCTCAAAGATAAATGGGTTAAACACAAGAATGAATTCTGAGCTGACCACAAACATATAAAGTCAGGCCTCAGCCAAGAAGAATGTTTCCCAGTGAGGAGCTTCTGGAAATGGCAGGGGAGAGCACCCGAGGTTTTTTGAAGCTGGGATGGAGCAAGAGAGTAAGATGGTAGTAGATCAAAGCCACTCTCCTTTTCACTGCCTCTGTCCCACCCAGTGTTTGTGTAGAGAGTTATATTTATGAAATACTCACACATTAGCCTGGCAAATAATACAACCTTCCCATTAACCATGGTGACTTACTCTTTCTGCGTGTGTGCACTAGTGGGTACAGGTGCACGTGGAGGCCAGAGATCAGTGTGGATTTCTTCCTCTATCCCCTTCACCTTATTTTCTGAGGCAGGGTTTCTCACTGTACCTGGAGCTCGTCCATTAAGCTGGGTTGGCTGGCCAGCAGCCCCTAAATATCACATCTCTACCTCCCCAGCAAGGGGACTATAGGAGGGCACACCTCTTTGACTGGCGTTTACAGTGCTGGAGATCTGAACTTGGGGCCTGTGCTTGTGCAGCAAACTGAACCACCACCACACCCAGCCTATTTCTGTTTTAAAAAAAAATGAATTGACCTTAAAAGATTTTACATGAGTATACATGAATGAGATATAGATACCATTATTATAAAACTGGTATATAGTGGGCTCAGAATTTAACCAGGGCTCCTAATTCTAAGATCAGACATTTTTCTTCCCATTTATATTGTTTTTGTTTTGTTTTGCTTCCTATTACATGTGTCTTTGGGCTGGAAATAGCCAAGAGCTTTTAAAATACTGAATGCATTCATTTGACCCAATAGCCTACCTTTGGAGGCACTTACATTCATAAGCCTACCACCTCTTAAAATTAATTAGGAATAAGAAATTGACAAACAATTTGTTTACAGTTCGGCCAAAATGAAGGGAAAACTATTTTTAGTTCCTCTCCAGTTTTTCTGTTCCAGTGTTATAATTTTATAGAAAAATGATGACACTAAGGAAATCTGCCTACGTTAAGTTGTCAGCAGCACGCCGAGTCTCTGGAGCAAGCCCCTCTTTGCGCCAGAGCTTCAACCTTTCCTGTCCACAACCTGGATTCCAAAGGGAATTTTCGTTCTTTGGGGTCCACAGCTCCACTAGCCCAGGAACCTCTATAGACTGTGTCCCTTCCTTCCAGGGGGGCTATCCTACTGACTTGAGCATATGTTTCGGCCCAGGAAGCACTTCAGTTCACAGAAGAACCTTCCAGCTTTAAAGTTTCTTTAGGGGAATGGTCACTAATATTAGAAGTGATTTTAATCAGTGATGTTCATGATTAAAAACATCAAAGGGAAACATCGGCCACTCTCCTCCACAGCACATATTTGCAGTGTTGAGGCAGGCAGCTCTGCCAGCTTACAGACTACTGTGTTCACTGATGACGACATTTGATGCTCTGCACGGAGCCATGAGTGTGCGCGGGTAACAGAGAAAGGGAGCCATCAGAGCAGTGTTAAAAGGGTGTCTCGGCTACTTTTCCAGTCACTGTGATAAAACGAAATACTTTGACAAGAGCAAGGAATTATTTTAACTCAAGTTCAAGGGCATAGTTCACCGTAGCCACAGTCATGAAGCAGAGGAATGCACATGCTGTGCACTTCCCATGTACCCCAGGACCCCAGTCAGGGAAGGCTGCCGCCCTCTGTGGGTGCATCTTTCCGCTTCAGGCAACCCGACCAAGATAACACCTTACAAGCATACCCAGAGGCTTGTCTTTCAGATGATTCTAGATCTCATCAAAACAACTGAGATGAACCATCACAGTGGACTGGGCGTATCCAGAGGTGTCCATGAAAGGCACTGGGGTATAAAATCCCGAGGGTCCCAAATTTTCTGGAAGATATTATTGGAAGAGGACAAGATGTTTGTGTAACCACAGATACATTTTATCTGGATTTCTTGAAGATCCCCTTGTACCAGTAAAATTTTGTTTTGTTTTGTTTTGTTTTTTTACTGTCAGCTTGACACAAAGTTGGGTCATCTAGGAAGAGGGAACCTTGTTTGAGAAAATGCCTCCATCAGACTGGGTTGTAGGCAAGTCTGTGGGGCATTTTCAATAATTAATATGGGAGGGCTCAGCCCACTGTGGGCGGTGCCGTATCTGGGCAAGTTGTCCTGTCAAGTAAAAGAAAGGTATCTCAACGCGAGCTGGGAAAGCAAGCCAGTAAACAGCATCCCTCCACGGTTTCTGCCTCAGTTCCTGCCTACTGGCTCCTGCCCTGCTTAAGTTCCTGCTCTGGCTTTCCTCGTGGATGGAGTGTGATCAAGATGTGTGATTGGGACATATAAGCCAAATAAACCCTTTCCCAAGTTCCTTTAGATCATGGTGTTTATCAAGCAACAGATAGCAAAGTAATAGACCAAAAACAAAACCAAGATGGTCATTG